CTCTCTGTACATCCATTTCACCAGATGGATACTCGATTCAATTACATGACAATGTCAGTAAAACGTTCAGTGGGTTTCTTGGAGAGAGAAGGATAAAAATGAGAAGTTATCGTTATGCCATTAGCATTGTTACAAGTAGCTCGGTGGCTGCTGCTTTGAATACTAATAGCCTCTGTTCATTTCCATGATACTTTCTTTTTCATTTTGAGTCTCCATCTCCAAACTTCCTCTTTTTCTTTTAAAAATTTTTCTATTTTTCTCCACCTTTGCCCTGTTTTGTGAATCGTTAAGGAAACACCACAAAGTGAAGGTAATTTGCGTGCCATTCGTATCATCCTCCATCTGCCCTAATAAACCTGCAGACTCTGCCCCAAACCCTCATACAGAGGCATCAGGAGAGGACCAGAGGAATACGGAGCCGCCCATTTTAAGAAGGAGAAACTCTAAAGTCAGGCTCTTGGGGTTAAAATTCCAGCTCAGTCACTTAAGAAGCCTCTCTTCAGTCCCAGTTTCCTCACCTACAAAATGGGCATGTTATTTCTCTATGCCTCCCTTATAAACGCTATGAGCATTAAAAAGGTAATAAATCCCATTATATAAAACAAATACAAGTCAAATAAAAAGAAACACATAAATATAAGTATAGTAAAAATAAATTAACACAGCTCCTGGCACGCAAGGATGTGCTTAATAAGCAGCATTTGTTATTTCTGGTTCTTCAGCCCTCAAGTCCATGCAGCTTCCCTTTAGGCTGCGCTGGGTCACCTCCTGCTCTTTTATGTCTCCATTTTATTCACGTTTTCTTTTTGCAGAGGATGTCAAATAGAGCACATTATTAAATAAAAGCTTAATAGCTACAGATTTTATACATAGAAATGTCTACATATAAGTCATGTGTGTACAGCTGCATCGATTTTCACGAAGTGAACGCACCCACGTGTGGCCATCCTGATCAGAATCTCACCGAGACCTCCAGAAGCCTCTCTCACCTCTCTGCAGTCACTCCTCTGTCCCTCCTCTGCAAAGCAATCCTGAAACAGTGTATGTGTCTGACTGTTTCTGACCGGTGGAAAGAGCAGACTCGTAACAGCAGATCCTCTTTCCTGTCTGGCTTCTTTAATTCAGTGTTTCTTTTTTTAAACATTTATTTATTCGGGGCTTACTTTGTGGCACATGGGGTCTTTCGTTGTGGAGTGTGGGCTTCTCTCTAGTTGTGGAAGTAGGGCTTAGTTGGTCTGTGACACGTGGGATTTTAGTTCCCTGACCTGGGCTTGAATCTGCGTCGCCTGCAGATTCTTAACCACTGGACCACCTGGGAAGTCTCCTATATTCAATGTCACATTCATGAGATTCTTCCATACTGCTGCAATAAAACGGTAGTTTAGGGACTCCTCCAGCGGTGCAGTGGTTAAGAATCTGTCTTTCAATGCATGGGACGTGGGTTCAATCCCTGCTGGGAGAACTAAGATCTCCAATGTTGCGGGCAAATAAGCCCATGCGCTACAACGACTGAGCCTGCATTCCACCACCAGAGAAAGCCTGAACGCTGCGATGAAGACCCAGAGCAGCTAAAAGTAAAATACAAATGGTGGTTTATTCTTTCTAATTTTTGTGCCGCAGCCCGTCGTGTGACTGTATGACAAATTATCCATTTTCTTGTTGATGGGGATTTGGGGGCTATTTCCATTTAGGAGACTCTTTTGAACAATACTCGTGATCATTCATGATTTTTGGTGGACATATGTAATAATTCTCTTGGGCATACTCCTAGGAGTTGTAACTGTTGGGTCATGGGGTTTGTAACTCTTGGGTCATGGGGTCAAGGCATATTGAGTTCTTAGTGGAAGCTGCCAAGAAGAGATTTCCAAAGTAACCTGGAAAATTTATTCTTCTGGAAGCAATGCGTGTACACACCCACTGTTCCACGTCGCCACTCCTAGATATTGTCAGTTTTTTCCAGTTGAGCCAGACTGATTGCTGTGTTATGACACTGAATTGTTTTAATCTGCATTTTCTGAGGATGAGTAAAGCTATTCACTTTTTCAAATATCTGTTTGTCATTTTTATATCCTTGTTTGTGAAGTGCCTGTTCACGCCTCTCCATCCCTCCTTTCATCTTCCTGGACTGTCGGCCTTTGGCTGGCTGGTCTCGGAGGCTGTTTACATTATCTTATGTGCGTCCTTGGTGGCTCAGTTGGTAAAATGATCTGCCTAGAAGGCAGGAGACCCAGGTTCGATCCTGGGGTGCACACGTTTTACACATCAGTTCTTGGTCAGATACATTTATCATCGACATTGCCTTCCACTCTGTAACTTGAATTTTCATTCTATGAACGGCATCTTCTGATGAACAGAAATTAATTTTAATGTAGTCCAATTTACCAACCTTTTTCTTTCACTTGCTGCTTTCTGTATGCTCCTGAATAAATATCAGCTTACCTCTAAATCAAGAGATACTCTTCTGTCTTACAGCAAGAAGCTTCTCCGTTTTGCCCTCCACCAGGAGAGTATTTTTCTCCTTCCTAAGACTCCTCTACTTAGACAGATAGAATGAGTTAGTTTTTTATTTTCCCGAATCTCCATAGTAATGTGCATTACTTTTTCTATCTTTATTATATTACACACTACTTTGAATCATATGTATTTTCCTGCCCATCAGCTCTATCTTATCCTCTCACTCCAGTCACTCAAATATCTAAATCTTTCATGTTCTTTTCACTAACTCCTGGTCACGATGCCTCCTAAGTAACTCCAAAATTGGTCTGCTTCATTCCATCCCAACTGCTACCTCCTAAATTTGTGCATTTCGTCTTGAATACGGCAGCAGTCCTTAACTAACTGGTCACCAACCTCCAATCTACTCTTTAATTAGCTGACCACACAATAGCCAGATCGATCTTCCAAAACATTAATCTCTTCCTGCTATTTTGTTTTGTAAAACCCTTTCATGGTTCCTACTACTCTCAAATTAATGGTTACTTCATCTAAGTGCTTAGTGACTGAGCAAGAAATAACGTAACCAATGGCAGAGCTGGGCTTTGGAGGACTGAGGCTTATGCTACAGGTGCCTACTGAAGAAAGGAATTCAAAATCACATGTGAATGTGAATATTTAGAATGAGAAAAGTTAGGGACTTAGAAGGCCAGAGAGCCCTGGATCTTAAACTTCCTTAGCTTCAAGGTAAATCAGTTTCTGAATGTCCCTAAGATCTTAATAACTTCCTAGCAACATCTTGCTCATCCCGTCTAAATTTACTCCAGATATAACTCACAGCAGGGTGATCAGACGCAGACCAGAGCCACACTTCCTGGGTTCAAACCCTGCTCTCACTCCACAAGCTCACTGCAGGCATCTCGGGAACTAACGCTGGGAATCTTTGCACACCCAAGGTCAGTCTGTCTTTCTTAGTCATTTCTTATCAGGCATGACCAAACACATCTGTCTACTCTTTTCTCTAATAAAGCAGGACAGGATTATTCTTCATATATTTGCGGTTTTGTTTTCTTGGCTTTTGTTCTAACACTAGACCATTCTCTTGATTTTCCCTGATGGATTTTCACTCACTGCTCCCAAGTGACGCTACCAGGCTCACCCTGCACCGCTTTCCAACCATCTTCTATAACAGGAGCATGAATCAAAGAGTTGCCAAGGAACCCGAATATAAAAGTCATATTAGGCTCTGCTTAGCTCGATCTGCCAATCTCAACCCAACTTTCCTCCCACTGACATTCAGAATCACCTTTATCATATACCTTTCTAGAAGGTCACATTCTTAGCTCGCTCAAAGTCAAAGTATGTGCCATTTTTTTTTCTGACTATAAAGTTAATACATGATCATTGTAGCAAAGTTAGAAAAAGAATTGGAAGCCTAAAATAAATCACCTCTAACCGAATCATCCAGAAGTAACCTCTTAACATCTTGGCATAATTCCTTGCAATGTTATTTTTCCTTATTCTTTTACATTAAGTTCATACCATTCCTTCAATCAAAATCATCCATTTTTAATTGACATAATACCAAATCATTTTCACATATCTTTAAAATTCTTTACAAACAGCATTTTAGCACCTGCCTAATATTATATTGTATGGATGCTACATAATTAATTTTGTCTCCTCAGGCAGAAAATTGAGATCTTTACCTTGTTTTTTTCTTTGTTATTATAAATTATGCTTTTAAAAATAGCACTATCTGTACTTAAAAGTCTTATCATTTCTCCCCCTACAATCTCCCCTCCTCTTCATGATGAATTAATAAGGATAAAATGACTGTTTTAAAACATGTTTCCTTCAAGGTCTTGAGTATATATGGATCTTACATATAACAGATAATAAACAAATACAAATATATACTTCAACAAACTAATCCTTAGGATTATTGCAATTTCACTAGCAATGCCTAAGTGTATTTGTCTTGCTCTATTCTGGCCAGCACTGAATGTTCTCATTTGCAAACTCGGCTAAAAGCACACACACCCACACAAACACATATATATGTATGAATGTACTAGAGACCACAAATGATTAACAAAGAAGGAGAAAGAAGATTACACAGAACCCCAAATTCTATAAAGTGCCCTATAGTTCTTTGAATTCAAATAACATCTGCCAAAATACATTGAGAATCAAACACAATAATGTGGGAAAGTCAGACACAATGATATGAAACTTTAATATATATTAGATCTGGAACATCTATAAATAACACTGTTTAGACATTTTCATCAAAATAATCAGATAAAGCTCACATTTCCATAACTTTATCTCTGAAAACTAATTAATAACCATGAATTTAATGTCCCATATACGTTAAACTTTTTAAAAAGACATCATAACTGTCTTGATTTCCATGTTTTTAGCTTTCATTGGTTTCTCTCTGCCTTTCATCTTCTTCTTCCTTCTCCCTCCACATCTGGCCTCCTGATCCTCCCCCATCCCTCCTCCGGCAGCCTGCGCCCTCCTCCCCGTCTCTGTTCCCATCACTTCCACTGACATCCTACCTTGAAGGTGCAGTTTGCTCTCGGTACTCTGCAGAAGGACGGAACTCACAGAGTCCAGATTGTCGTAGCTGTTACAGCCCAGGGGCCCAGTGCGTGTCTCTGTGACCTGGAGGGGACAGCGAGGGCGACAGGTGTGAGACGGATGCCCTTGGCTGGGACAGATCCTGCAGAGTCGGCCCCCAGCAGGGACGCAGCAGCGGGGAGAGTCTGACTGCGCCCGCAGCCACTCCCCGAGCCCCTGCCCGTGCCAGGCTAGCAGGGTAATCTAGCACGGACATGAGCCAGAGCGCCCAGGTTCTCTCCTTGGTTCTCACGTCACCAAGCCACTGTATTTTATGAACTAATAACAAGTGGAAACACTACCGTGTATTTCGAAAGCATGGGCTCTGGGAATAGGAGAGACAGTGTTAAATCCCGGCTGGGCCATTGATTTGCTGTGTGACCACAGGCGGGCACTTCTCTAGGCTCCTGAAACCTGAAGCTAATAAATCCTACCCATGAAGGTTGTGAGACTAAACCTGATGGGCGGAAGCGCCTGGCACGTGGCATATGTTCATAATAGACATCTCATTACCCAGAGCCTTTATAAATTGCAATGTGCATTATCGATTAGTACGTATGCATTGTATTAGGCAAGAACAATACAATCATTCCCATTTTCACAGAAAAATTAGCAAAGAGCACAATCAGCTCCACTGCAGAATGAACACCCCTGTCCTCTGGTGGTGTGTTTATAAATGACTGTCTGAGAATAACTGAGGTGGTGGACAACAGGGTGGACAGCTATTCTAAAAGACAACCTTGAGATATGAACGGTGCAGTATGTAAAGTGGCTTCTTCATCTCTTCGGTCTTTACTTTCCATTATTTCACACAACTGTTGGTGGGCTTGTTTTGGGGTTTGCATCCTGCTGCTAAGACACAGTGCTGACTGCTATAGAGAAGGAGGGTTCTAGCAGTGCCAGCTCCGCCTCTGCCCAGCAGTAGAGCTTTGGGTCAGTAACTACCCTTTATAAGCCTCAATTTCCCCAACTCTACAATATCCACCATAACAGTAAAGGGATCATGTTTTTGAAGTGTTCAGCACTTAGGAAACAGTACATAAACGGAAGGTTATTAGCCTTTGCTTTTAAAAGTAATTTATTCTTTTTTGTGTATAGAATAATAGCATGGTTATTGTTGAAAGACATTCAAAACTACCAATTCAGCTTGCTATAAAAATACTCGGGGAGAGGAAAACAACTGGCAAAGTTTCCCCACCTGGGTCGGTTGCTCATCTTACACAGAGCTGGCGGGGAGACCCATTCTAACCAGCTGGGTCTTGAAGGAGCCTGAAGAAATGGCTAGAAAAATGTGAGTCCCAGATTGAAGGTCGAGGGTGGGGCTGTTGCAAGAATGGTTTCTTGAGTGGCCTCTGTCTAATTTCTCTGAGAAACTCCTCCTAAAGCACAGACTGCACTTCCAGGATGCACAAGAGAGGATTATCTCCCGACAGAGCTTCAATATCTCAATTCTGAATCCCATCCCAGGGGGGAGGGAACCATTTGGTGATAATGAAAACCAGGCCTTGGCTTCGCTGCTCCAACTCCGATGGCTTCATAAAGCTCCAGCTCCCCGTGCTGAGTCCTCTAACAACATAATCCCCCCGATAGAGCCGATTCTTCTCGGATAAGCTGGCCTTTTGTTTGTCGATCTGATTTATTTCTCTCCCTCCTCAGCAAGGCTCTCCTGCCCACGTTTCTTCTCTTCCCTGGGTCAGCTTCTGACTCATCTGCCTGACTCCTACCAACACTCCCCTGCCACTCCCAAACCCTTCACACGCACACTATCCTGAGAGGTACCTTTTAATGTCTTGATAGAAGACTAGCAACAACAACAACCTAAGACTATGTCTGCATTTTATTCAGAAGAAATCAGACTGAAGAATGAGACGTAAAATGCAGGTATAATCTGGTTTAAGACAACTTGAGATGCAAAAAAATCTTCACTGAAACCCTCCAAAGAACTAATCCTTTTTATCAAAAATGCCCTCTTTCATTCTCTTTATAAAGGTAATCCTTTAATTTCTTATATTGAAAGTGGAGTATGTAAGTACCTATGCTCTAAGGCAGTGAGCTGAAAGTTTACGGCTGCTCTTTCCAATACAACTATTTACATTTAAATAAATTAAAAATTAAAAAAAAAACCTTACAAATATACTTTGTAAGTAGCCACAAAGTTATGATCTCCATAACCCCATATGTATAGTGGCTCCTGTCTTGGCCAGCATACATTCAGAGCTTTTCCATCATCTTGGAAGGGTCTATTGGAAAGCACTGGGTCAGCACGTGACAGGCTGGCTGTTTTTATAAATAAACTTTTACTGGAAAATGGCTATGATCATTTTTTTTTTACGTTGTCTATGGCTGATTTTGTTCTACAGCAGCATAGGTGAGTTGTAGCAACAGGGGTCATATATTCTGCAATTCTTGAAGTATTTATTATTGGCTCTTGACAAAAAATATTCCTGACCCTGGTCTAGAGAGTAGAGTTCTAATCCCTGTTACTGATCTGTCTAGGTGTGTAACTCTGAGCAAAAGTCTTTAACTTTTGGACCTCAGTGTTCACATCTGTAAAATGGGGAGAGGGAGATGAAAAACACAGGTGTTAACCAATTACTGGCCTAGGCATAATCTGACTTCTGTGAACTCTATGACCTTGTGAAAATTAATTACTCAGTGTAGCCTCAGTTTATTCACCTACAAAGGGGGCCTGGAAATCATTTACATAGAACTTGAAGAGTGAAAGCAAGTACTATGGATAATTACGCCCCATGATCACAGCCAGGGCTGCCCCAGGAAATCAGTACATGTGGTCTTAATGAAAATGCTCGGGGTATTATGGGGCATTGGAAAACCTCGGTCAGAGTGGCTGGCCAGGGGCACTGTTAGCTCCATAGGAAGTAAGGAAGTGAGGAATTTCATCTGCCCATCGACACTCAGACCACTTCAGCACAGTGCTGCTGTCTTAAGAACCTGCCACCCGCAAGCTGTACCTTGATTGCTCCAGTTGATATCTGGATCTCATGGAGCCTCCTCATGGTGCCATCACGGTCAACAAAGTAGGATGATGCAAGCTGGTGCAGAGCTTCAACACTTTGAGTGGCATTCCCTGACTTCCTGTCCAGGCGACTTTTGTCCATGTACATGGTCAAGGCCTCCTCCCCTGCGTGGAAAAGGAAAGAAGCTCAGGCAGGCTGTTGAACTCTGTGAGGGGTAGAAGGGCTTCAGGGCTCCAAAGCAGAGAATAGCTTTGGGCCTCTAATTTTGCCCAGATTTCCTTCTGCTTCTGAAAAGCAAGAGCACAATGCAAGCAAGACAGTCCAGAGGTGGCGGTAAGCACAAAGCTTCAACAGGAGGAGAATCATGAAAACAAACTTGGGTGAGCCCTTCCCGTTCCTTTCTCCTCCTCCTGTTTCCTTCTTATCATCCAGTTCCTCTTATCCCTCCTCTCATTTCTCCCCTCTCCTCTTCCCTCCTTTCTTCCTCATTTCCTTCCCCTTCTGCTATCCCTTCCCAGATAGATGGATGGACAGAGAGATCGAGAGACAGGGAGAGAAAGACAGATAAGACATAGTTTAGACACAGATACAGATAACTAAATAGGAATAACTATGCATCTCTGGAGAGAGGAAAAACTAAATTGTCAGTCCTGTGAAATCAGATGCTGTCTATATTATTGTTGTTGTTGTTTAACTGCTAGGTCGTGTCTGACTCTTTTGCAACCACATAGACTGCAGCCTTCCAGGCTCCTCTGTCCACAAGATTCTCCAGGCAAGAATATTGAAGTGGGTTGCCATTTCCTTCTCCAGGGGATCTCCCCAACTCAGAGCTTGAACCTCAGTCTCCTACATTGCAAATGGAGTTTTTGCCACTATGCCACTGGGGAAGCCCATTGTCCATATTAGTCACTGCTTTAGGAGACTGGGGTCAATCCCTAGGTCGGAAAGATGCCCTGAAGGAGGAAATGGCTACCCACTCCAGTATTCTTGCCTGGAGAATTCCATAGACATAGGGTTGGCAAAGAGATGGACACAACTGAGGGACTGAGCGTGCAACATAATCCTTTGTCCAAAGTCTGATGCCTGGCAGATATTAATAGTAAACAGTTAATCATCCACTTTTTTCATTTATCCAATTAATATTTCTTAAGCTACATTTTGGAGGAGAGGGGAGATGACAAGAAAGTTAGGCATAGGGTAGAAGAGATAGAGAGAGAGAGAGAGAAAACCTTACATAATTTACTCCATGAAATTTCCCTTAGAAATAAACGCGTAAGTCACTAACAGTATGAATTATGGTGGATTTTATCTTGGATAACAGGACGATTCATCAGAACTTCAGAAGGCAAGCTCCACCCAAACAGATCTGACCCCTGTACCCCTGGTTCCACCCTCAACTAACTGTGAACTTGGGGACATAACCTCTCTGTTTCTCAGTTTACTCATGAATAAGATTAGAAGAATAAAAATAGCACCTATTCCATGGAGTAATTAAGAAGAATAAATTAATTAATATATACAAGGTCCTTATATTAGTATCTTGTTTGCTGTAGCAACCAAGAATCACTGGGAACAGGAGCAGAACATTCGATTCTAGAACTAGACTGCCTGAACTTGAACTAGCTACAGGAGTCAGTTACCTACTCCCTCTGCACTGCAGGCTTTTCCTGTGTAATATTGGAAATACTAACTGTATTTACCTCCTAGGTCGTCATAGGGTTAAATCTGTTAATGACATAAAGTACCTGAGCTCTGCCTGGCACAGAGTAAGTTCCGCCATTGTTTGATACTGCAAATTATCAATCATATAAGACTTATGCTTACTTTTAGTCAACCCAATACAATAGGGTCATCAGAGAACAAATGATACCGATAACTTTCTGAGGACAAAAGCCTGATATCTAAGATAACTGAAATTTCTTTAGAATGCTGATGATTTCTTGAGTTAAAGGGAAGGTTAAAAAAAAAACACAATAAACGATTAATTTTGGAAGAACAGTGGTTATCCTAGGACGCAGACATGGTCCTGACACAGAGGTCAATCCCTCTGCCTTGGCCCCACCATGACTGCTTTAAGAACGTGGTTTCTTTGTGGTTCAGAGCTCTCCCTGTGGAGCCTCGTCTGTCTTTCAGCCAAGCCATTCCTTCTGCCTCCATGCTTTATTCTTGCCAATTTTCCTCCAGCTCCATTTTTATTTATTTGTCTATCTTCTGCTTGGAATCCCGTTCTTTCCTTCCTCTACATGTCTGGCCACTGAAATCCTGCACAGCGTTTTGAGCTGGATTCCAGGGTCGCCTCCTCTTGCCGCCCTGTGCCCGTGGCCTGGCATCTCCAGTGCACGCTCTAGAAGCTGCTCGGTTATCAGCTTCCTGCTGGGGCTTTCCCGGCCACACCCTCCCCCAGACAGCAGTCACCACCCTGAGTTACCGCTCTCCAGGGCGTCCGTTCTGTTTAGCTCGCATACATGCACTGTATCCTGTATGTTCTGAGCACTCCGGTGGGCAATGGTCGCAAGTGAATAAGACAGCGCCCCATCCTTAGAGTCACCCAGTGAATACACACATGCTGCCCAGGATAGGAGCCACTGGCCAAATGTGGCTGGTGGGCATCTGAAATCCGGTTGTTCCAAACTGAGATGCACTATGCCTATAAACTACACAGTGGAATTCCAAGAACTGGACAATGTTAAAAAAAAAAGAGCAAACTAAAATATCTCATTAATAACAAAGACTGTAAAGGATGTGGAGAAAATGGAACCTTCCTACACTGTTGGTGGGAACGTAAATTGGTGCAGCCGTTATGGAAAATGGTATGGAGGGTCCTTTAAAAAGTAAAAATATGATCCATCAATCCCCCTCCTGGGCACATATCCAGAGGAATCTCTAATTTGGAAAGATCCATGTACCCCATGTTCATAGCAGCACTATTCACAATAGCCAAGGCATGGAAACTCAACGCTCATCAACAGATGCTTGATTTATGGAAGATGTGTTACATATGTGCCATGGAATATTACTCAGCCATAAGAAAGAATGAAGCACTGCCACCTCCAGCAACACAGATAGACCCAGAGATGATCATCCTAAGTGACGTAAGACAGAGAAAGACAAATATCACATGGTATCACTTATATGCGGGTTCTAAAAAATGAGCTTATTTACAAAACAGACTCACAGACCCAGAAAACAAACGTATGGTCACCAAAGGGAAGAGGGCAGGATGGATAAACTAGGGGTATTAGATTAGCAGGTGCAAACTACTACACATAAAAGATAAGCAACAGGGATTTACTCCATAATGCAGGGAGCAAGATTCAGTATCTTGTAATAACTTATAATGGAAAAGAATCTGAAAAAAAATATACAAAACTGAATCACTCTGCTGTACATCTAAAATAACACCATATTTTAAATAGACTATACTTCAATTACAAAATAAAAACAGAATAACAGGAAAAAAGAAATAAAATTATCAATAACAGGTTTTCATTACATGTTGAAATAATATTCTGGATATATTATGTGAGATAAGATATATGGTTAAATTCATCCTCCCCTTTTTCTTTTCACTTTTAAAAATGTGGTTGGAAAGTTGTAAATGGCATATGTGACTCACACTAGCAGCTCATGTCATATTTTGATTGGACGACACGGGTCTAGGGAGACAGACGCACACAGCAATCACTTCAGTACATGCGCCAGATGAAGGGTGAAGGTGCCGATGCGTGGGGTGGGATGCAGCCCGGAAGAGGGGTGCCTGCATCCCTGTCGGCACCGTGGGACCCAAGTCACTGATGATCTGGTCTCTCCCAGCGGCATCTCCCGTCACTCCAGCTACGCTCGGTCCTACACGAATGTGCCCTTTCTCTCTCATGGTCGGGGCTCTGCTCTTCTCCCGGCCGACTTCTACTCATTGCTCAGGTGGCGCCAGACACCGCACCACCTCTGGGAAGCCTTCCGGGAGTCACCAACTGTTCACTTAAGCTGAAGTTAGAACGCTAACCACAGGCTTCCATGCATGGTCCCCTTTTATTTCTGCAGTGTGTTACCTGCTACATTTCCTGGTGATTGCTTGTTGAACAGCCTGTCTCTTTTACTAGAGAAGAAGCTCTGTGAAGTCAGTGAGGATGTAAGAGCCTTTCATCACTTCGTTGTCGTTGCCTAGCACAATCTGGGCATATATTATGTGCTTAACAAATGATCAGCATTTTATGTGTGGATGAGCGGATAAATACGGAAGTCGTCCAGCTCTACAGTGTTTGTTGAATGACACATCTGCCTTAACTACTAGACTGAAATCTTCCAGTGAGAAGATTCAGGATCATTAAAATTAATCTCTGGGTTCCACAGGCCTAGATTTAAGCTGAGTTCAGGATAAGAAACTCTTATCTGCACCTTCCCATGAAGCCTTTGCAAGTTATACAAGAGAACATGACCATCCATCCTTTGGATCTGCAGCAACCTGAACAGACTTGGCTTAAAGATGACTTTATACTCAACAATTAGATGTTGAGTTCCAGAGGGTGAGTAGTGGCCTGAGGCAAGAAGGACTCTATCTGATTCTTCTTTGTAATGTTCCCAATGCTTCTCCCAGGTCAAATGAAGAGCCAAAGTTCAGTTCCCATTTGATGGGGAGATGGATGGATGGATGGGGAGACAGATGATTAAATGGACAGATGAGCAGATAGATGAGTGGAGAGCTAAATGATTAAATAAGTGAATATAAGCTAGAAGTTAGAGCCAGGAGGCAGAGGAAATAAATATCACAAGTGTCAGCTCAGGCTCTCTAAGGGGCCTGTGAAAGAGAAGGGGAAATAGCCCAGGTCTCTCAGGACTGAGAACTGGAAGAAGCAAACCTTAGATCAAGAGGGGTTAATGGGCTTCTTGCTGCATTATTAAGACTTAATTTCTTGTTTATTAAGAGAACATTCTGTTTAGAGTTGCTTTCCCATTTGGGCATTCCTGCAAATTGCCTCTTCACCCCTCACAGACCTTTCCTCAGTCTTTCTGTCCTCTGGGGCTTTGTCTCGCTGTCTGCAGCACTTCTTTCAGGGGGAAGCAAAGTGGGACACGCAGAGGATGGGCGATGAGGGGGGAGATCAATCATCTTAGCTCCTGAGTCTCTGGGGGACACTGTTCCCAGCAAAGGGAAGGGCATGTCTGGACTTCAGGTGTCTGGGGCATCCCTCAGCCTTTCCTTCTGAAAACTCTCTCCTCAGCCTTTCCCCAGCGACTCAGTTCACAGCCTTCCTCTTAACCAGGGGAGCTCTCCCAAAATACAGGGTGGGTGATGAGAATACACACACACACACATTCACACAAGCACAAAATCATAAGCTCTCACACATTCAATAGACATTCCTGCAATATGCATGCATTCACTCACACATACACATATATGTATACACTGCAACCATACTCATGGGTTCAAGGCATATGCATGTGAGCAGTGCATAGTATGTATGTCCATATATAGGTTAACTTTCACGAAAGTATTAGCGGGCCTCTGTGCAAGCGGGCATGCACTCCCATGCAGGTGCACAAGCTTAGTTACATACATCACACAGACACCCCGCCTGCAAGGCGCCTCCTTTGGTCTAGAATATAAGCTTCTGAGGAACCAAGGGGAATGACCATCCCTGATTAATTGTGTCATTCCAGACCCCAATTTTTTCACTTCATCACTGTCCATAAAACGCACTGACATCAAGTATTTTATGAGTTTAACAGATGTCGCCCCAAAAGTGAGGATCCCAGAGAAAGGGCTTAGGTGTCAGCGCTCCCGCCGACTGTGCCCCCTCCTTCTCACCCCCTCTCCTTCCTCGTCTCTAAATGCATCTACTTGTCCTGTAAGTGACAGTTTAAGGATGATCTTTTGTTGTTTGAGTACGCCCTGAGGAACTCACCTGACACCTCAAACAGCTCATCAAAGCAGTTCTTCTAAATGAATATGCTGTTCTCCTTAGGAAAAATGATAGTGAATACAGTTCTCTGCACTTTCTTATATTCATATGGAAAAACGGAGAGCCAGACAAGAAACTGAATTTCTCCATGTCTGCCATTCATCTAGCGAGTGGGAGGAAGGGGCGGTCATCCCGAGGCCCCAGCGTGTGGGTCTCACTAAACAATAACACTCCGTGCTGCGGCCAGGCGCTCAGTCCTGTCTGACTCTGTGACCCCGTGGACCACAGCCCGCCAGGCTCCTCTGTCCGTGTAGCTCTCCCAGCAAGAATGCTGGAGTGGGTGGCCGTGCCCTCCTGGTTGGATCTTTCCAACCCAGGGACGGAACCCACACCTCCCACGTCTCCTGAGTCGGCAGGTGGGTTCTTCACTGCTGATTCACCAGGGGAGGCCCCAAACAATAACAACAAAGATCACAAGAACAACAACAGCAATGATCTGTTAGGTGCCAAACACCGAAATAAGCACTGTTGATGCATCATTTTCTATAATCTTCAAAGTATGCATGAATACTAGTATTATTTCTATGTACACAAGAGGAAACCAAGGCTGAGAGCATCGAGCAGGCTGTCAAGGTGACACAAAGCTTGTGAGAAACAGACAATCAGATGCCAGAATCCGCCCTTCTATGGCCCACGGCTCCCTCCTCTGCCGGCATATGAGGAGGCTCTTAAGAAAGACTTTCCCGTGAATGAATGCATGAATGAATGAAGTGGTGATGCGAGAAGGACCTCACGCGGCTGTTGGTGCTGTGTCCATCAACAGTAAATCCTCCCGCCTCCCCGCTCCCCGCTCCGCACCAGCTGAGGATGGAGGAAACATTTAGGGCTTGCTGTCCAATACGGGAACTCAACCCAGTGCTCTGCATATTTTAAAATGTTGTGCTGTAAAAACAGGAGAGGAACAAGGCTCTGTGAATAATTCACCACCTCGCCTTGGAGAAATTAAAAATATATTTCACTGCAAAAGAAGAGTCGTTGTTATTTGGGACTGCCGGGGACTTGGACAGAACACAGTTCCTAATGGAAGAACTGCACTGATCCTAGTAACTGTTTGTTTTTTTCCCCAAGTGAAATGGGAGGTGGGGGAAGTTTAAAGAAAAGGGTACATGTTAATGCCACACTCAATGTAGAAGTGATTTCATTTTCATTTTATGATAGAGCAGAATTTATATGACATGATTTAACATCCATCTGTTAACCAATACGTGCTGGCTGATTGATTGTTGGATTGGGTGGGTTGGCAGGTCAGTGAGCTGGTTAAAGAGATGACAGATGTTGGGTCAAAAAATAATGCAAGCTTTGTGGACATAAAATCCTAAGTTAAAATTTTAATTTTGTCATCAATCTTAGCTTTACCTCTTGAAAGTCTCAGCTTCCTTATATATGAAATGGAGACAATATAATCTAACTTGTCATTTTTGCAGACTAAAGAGGGCATAGAATGCCTACTATGAGCAAATATTCAATACAGTGTGGCAAATATGAGTAAGTGGGGCTTCCCTGGGTGTGCAATGCAGTAGATGAGAGTTTGATCCCCTGGAGAAGATCCCCTGGGGAAGGAAATGGTAACCCACTCCAGTATTCTTGCCTGGAGAATCCCATGCCCAGAGAATCCTGGTGGGCTATAGTCCCATGGGGTCACAAGGAGTTGGACACGGCTGAAGCAACTAAGAAACAACAACAACACTAATAGCTAAGCTGTGGATTCGAAAGAATGAACTGGCCCAACCGGCTTCTCCACCCACATCGTCCACATGATTACATTTCTAAGCTGATCTGCCTTGAAATGCATATTGTGTGCTCAGCCTAGAAAGTTTCACCACCCTCTACACAGACAGCTCCTACTGAGCTAAACCGTCACTTCCTCTAGGAAGTTTACACTAACCATTCCAGCTGGTGCTCACCCTCCGCTGAAAAAGAAGATCAACTGTCATAACCATGACTCGGGAGATCCACTTGGCTTTGTCAACACACCAATCCTGACTGTTTCTCTGACATGAGCCAAATCTAAACGCAGCTTTGCAGCGCTCTGAGCAGGTGGCATGGTGCTCCACCACTTAAGGGGCTTTCTCAAAATTCACTGGACCCAGTCATTGTGGCAGAAAACTGACCTCCAAAGGACAGTAGCTCATAATACAAGATGACGCCTGTGGGCAAGACCTGTAAGCGGCTAAGTGCAATGGTCTCCACCACCTCCTGTGTCCTTTGAGTCTTCTGCCCCTCATTTATCCTCCCCTTATCCTCACTCCCTTCAAGATGATCTGGACACAAAGCGGAGGAAAGTGTAAAGCTGAGTAGGGAGGGGCAGTTAGTCTGCATTCCTACTGCTCCAGTCCAAACCCATAGAAGATACAACGATATCCCCTTTGTAAAATGATAACCTCAAGTTATCAGCCACTAAAGCAGATTTCAATAAACAAAAGGACTTCTTGAAACAACATCTCAAGTTTGACTTTTCCCTCAGATTAGACTGCACTCCAAAGGAATCAATACAATAAGGAGATTAAACATTCCCAACAGACTGAGCTAATTCCAAGGTGATGCCATTATTCCCACAAAAGTTAGGAAACGCTCAAGTTAGATTTTCCCAGAGAACAGAATCAGCCAAGACAACCTGGCTTCTCTGACAACACAGCCTTCTGAGTGATGTCCAATGGCAGAGATGTTAAGATGGCTTTGATCCCAGGCCACCCCATGGTCCCCTCCCTCCCAGACCCAAAGTCACGATGAGGCTATATGGCCCAGCGACTGTCAACCTACCTCCCAGGGTGGCAGAGATGAGGAGGTGGGTGCCGTACTTTTTGATGATGGTGTCGATGAACTGCTGAGTGGTGGGTCTCCTGCCAAGCAGCCGGATGCTCCTCTGAAACTCCGGCATGAGGGGCACGGGGTGGCGGACCAGGTCTCTCCTCTCGATGGCTGTGTTCCTCACCTTCCAACGGGCAAACTCCCTGGGCAGGAGAGATGGGCGAGACTCTCAGCTTACCAGCTCTATCCCCAGGCCAAGTCCACCCAACCAGCCCGTCCAGGCATCGCTCCCTAGGTGAGAGAGTGCTTGCAACTATTTTCAGTATTTGTTAACTGCCTCTGAGCTCTGGAGCCCTCACTCTTTCCAGCACCATGAATATGTATTGGGTACCATCCTCATCACTAGCGGCTTCCCTGGCAGTTCACACAGTAGAAAGTCTGCTACAATTCAGGAGACCTGGGTTCAACTCCTCGAACGGGAAGATCCCCTGGAGGAGGGCATGGCAATCCACTCCAGTATTCCTGCCTGGAGAATCCCATGGACACAGGAGCCTGGCAGGCTACACACACACACAGGGTTGCAAAGAGTCGGACATGACTGAGCGACTAACACGTTCTCATCACTGGGATACCGCAGTGAACCAGAGAGATGCTGTCATGCTTTCAAGATGCTTACGGAGCATCAGACACAAAAATCACTGTCATCTAGCTGCTTATTCATCTCCCTCACTAGACCGTGAGTGAAACCATAGAGATGGGATCTCCTCAGGTACATGGTACATGTTACATGTTACATGGTGGAGTCAAAAGCATGCAGGCTGGATGAATAAATAAGCAAGAGGATAAAGGAAGGAAGGAAGGCTCTGTACCAATGGACAAGGCATAAGGTACAATGCAACTTGAAAGTTGTTTGAAGACAATTCCACGATCCAATAATGAGCCCAGGACTCGGCCTCAATTGAAAATTTCCCATGCATTCATTGAACAACTACTGTTTGAAAGAAACTAAGCTATGTTCTGAACACCAGGTAAGGGAATTTCCACTCTTCCCTTCACTAATGATGGAGAAGGTCAAGATGGAGGGACACTGGACTTGGTGGCCTACACTCAGGGTCTCACTGTGCCTCCTGTAAATTAGGGGGTGACCTTGGCCAGAGGATGTCACTTCTCTGGATGTACATTTCCTTATGTGTAAAATCCAATCAGTACTATCTATTTCCTATTGCTGGTGGCCAGAGTACATGAAGTATAGGGTGTGAAAATACCATTGGGAAATGCCAGGCACTGTTCCAATGTGAAAGTTTTATAACTTTTATCTCCTCACACACTCACGGATATATAAATCATCAAAGGTTCACAGATGATGGATGAGGAGCATGCAAACCAAATACAAGTAGACATTTAAAGGGCCTCAGTTCAGGTTGTTTTTGCTTTAATAATGATCTCTGTTCCTACCAAAGGTGGAGCTCCCCCTGGAGCAACCAGTTCTCTGACCTGCCTGAGTTATAAGCTCCAGGTCCCTTGAGCAAAACAGACTAGTCAAGGGGACAGTAAGGTCAGCCCAGACAGATGATGGGAATGAGAGTCTAATGAAAAGGTCCCCCTCTCCTTCCACAAGCTGGGAGAGATGAATAAAGGAAGGGGCGCAGAGCAAGAGGCGGCAGAACAGGGTGGGAAACAGGACCAGATAAGTCTCGGTAACTCAGGGGTGGAGCTGACCCCTGATGCAGAGAAAGCTGCGTCTGAAGAAAAATCTTCCACAATGGAATGCATTTCCAAGCCTCAGAGCTTATGGTCTGTGTCTGCTTAACAAAGTCAGCTCAGTGCTCTGCGCGAGGTAGGTACGTATCACATCTACCAGCTGCACTCGTGAACCCTGCAGGGCGCCTACTCAGTGCAAAACATCGTGTCCACAGCAGGGGAGGGGACACATCCCAGTCTGATGACCTCAAGATGCTCACAGTCTGGCAGGACAATCATGTCCTGCTTATGGTAAACCAAAGACTACAAGACACAAAAGAAGGAACACAGACTTCTGAGGTCGGTAGGGGAAGCTCCAGTGAGTAGGTCACATCTTAATCATAGTTTTATAATTTAAAAAACAGAATTTTTTTTTTTTAAATCCAGATACCCATGTAGGGCTGCAGCAGAGTGAGTAAGCCGAGGGCACGTGACACATTACGGGAAGAGCCGCACAGGCGGTGACGGATGAAGGAGAGGGTGTGAAACGGGACACAATGGAGCCCATGGGGCGACCAGGCGTTAGAGGGCGGGGGTTGCAGAGCCAGCCGAGGGGGGCTCACAGGGGTGGTCGGCAGCTGGTGGCATGAGTCCCTAAGATTACTGCTTCCTGCTCTGGGTCACCTCCTCCCCCAGAGTGCAGGCTGAATAGGACCCAGTGATTTGCTTCTATTGAACAAAATGTGAAGGCGATAGCACGTTAGTTTTGTGACCAGGTTACAAAATATGGCAACTTCTTAGCCAGAAGGAAGAATGAAATGATGCCATTTGCAGCAACGTGGATGGCCTCAGATATTATCATACTAAGCAAAGTAAGTCAGACAGGGCAAGACAAACATCATGTGATATGACTTGTATGTGCAATCTAAAATACAACTCAAATGAACATGTCCGTGGAACAGAAACAGGCTCACAGAACAGATTGGAGGTCGCCAAAGCAGGTGGGAGAGGGAAGCATTAGGAGCTTGGGATTAGCAGATGCAACCAGTACATACAGGGCGCGTAAACAACAGGTCCTACTGTATAGCACAGGGAACCACACTCGACGTCCTGTGATAAATCACAATGGGAAAGAACATGAAAGCGAACAGACATATGCATGGCTTCCCAGGTGGCGCAGTGGTAAAGAATCCAACTGCCAATGCAGGAGATGCAAGAGACACGGGTTTGATCCCTGGGTCGGGAAGATCCCCTGGAGGAGGAAATGACAACCCACTCCAATATTTTTGCCTGGAAAACTCCATAGACTGAGGAGCCTGGTGGGTTACGTCCATGGGACTACAAAGAGTCGGACATATATATATATATATTTGAATCACTTTGCTGTATAGCATGAATTAACTTATAATTTACAAGTATAGCTGTAAATCAACTATACTTAAATAAAATTATTAAGAAACCACCGCAAATATGGCCACTTCCATTTGCCCCTCCCTTCCACTTCTCTCTCAGTCACCCTCTCTCCCTTTGTCCTGCCATGATGTAAGCTGCTCTATCGACAGATCTGTATGGAGAGGAAGGGACGTCTCTGAGGAACAGAGACCCCACGGGGGCTGAGCGCTAACAGTAACCTCGTGCGTGAGCTGGGAGGCAGACCCTTCCCTGCAAAGCCTTGAAACGATTACAGTGGAGCAAGAGCAAGGGCACCTAGCTGAACCACAGCCAGAGCCCCACCACGGAAGCTGTGAGATAATACATGGAGTTGTACTCAGCTACTAACCTGCATAATTTGTTACCCAGCATCAGATGACCAAGAAAAGATGATGAGAATCATCAGATATTTCTGAGGAAACAGTGTTTCCTCATTAGCTTATCACTGACATGTATAAAACTATACATATATATATAATTATGGAATTAAATATATATGTATAGGCATAGAAACATATACTTCTTTCAGTATTATAGACAAATAATAGTTTAAAAATATTACATTATATAAGTATGCTATATACAGGGATAATATATATATATATACACATAACTTTTATTTGTAACTTACAACCTTGCATTACTATTTTTTACGTGACTACATATGTATAGGCATAGAAACATACAATTCTTTCAGTATTATAGACAAATAATAGTTTTAAAATATTATGTTATATAAGTATGCTATATACAGGGATAATATATATACACACATAACTTTTATTTATAACTTACAATCTTGCGTTACTATTTTTTTCATGTGACTACGTCTACATTCCTCAAAACTAACATGAATTTACACATAGACAGGTTAAGTAACATGTCAAAAGTCACACAGCTCATTAGGGGTAGAGCTGGGAGTAAAACACTTGTATCCTGATTCTTAAATCATTCTTTTAATGTAGATATTGAGAAGGAGAATATAAAAACCATGATAAAACCAGTACTGGTACAAAGGAATGATGTTACACCATCATCAAATTACAATCCCGTGATTTGACTTCTTTTTCTTTCTTTCTTTCTTTTTTTTATCAGCCTCCACATTCTTTCTGATTCACCAGCTATACATCCAGGGTCTACCATCTGTGTTGCTTCCCTGAAAAAACTAGGGAGGAAGACAAGGCTGCGCTCCTGGTTCCTCCCTCCCCAGGCGGACACGGCGGATGCACTGTGATCTGCTGAGCACTGTGTGGGCACTTGGGGAAGTTCAGTCACTGGGGGATGTTATGGAGTTCAGCCTGCTAGGCAGGGCCTGTTCAGCACCACAGACAGCTCCAGATTCCAAGGACCTGTTCCTTCTTACCGAACAAGAGTGGATGTTTAAGAAAGTTATTAAACAATTATGTGCTATTTGCAACAGTCATTTTAGTCATAGAGGGATCAGAAAGAAGGATCTCTAACCCAGGCTGCAGGAGGGGCTGGGGTGGAAATGGGGATGTCAAAACATCCTGTAAAGCTGAATCTTCAAAGGAACATTGCATGTGGCTAGATGAAGACAGGGGAAGGATATTTTGGGAAGAATGAGCTCCATGTGTAAAAACATCGGAAAATAAGAGAATAGGACAGTAGTTGGAGAGAAAGGGATACATATGTGTGCAGTATTCATGTGTGTGCATATGAAATGTAAGAGGTAAAAGATTGTCAGGACCACACAGTGAAGGGTCTTCTGTGTTGAACTGTGATATTAGATTTTTATCTATAAACTCTATATCTATAAACTATATAAACATACTTTCTAGATATAAACTCTTTTCTTAATGGGAAATAACCAAGACTAAAAATGTTCTAAGAATGAGTCTGTACGACTCTGTGACAGTCAAGGAAATGCTGGACCTAATAAGACTGTAACAGTCGTAGGATTCCACAATTTTATCCTCTTTTCCAAAAAACACTTAAGCAAAAGGTCTTCATAGCACCTGGATCTATTCAGAAGTAGATTTAAACAACTGAAACAGTTGGTTTCTGCTTTCAAAATTTAAACCCTTGTTATTTTTCCAGATCTGAGTTTAGAGCAGTAAACAAATTAGATAAA